AAAATAGAGGTCTAACCCAATACACCTGAAGACGTGGAAAGTTGTCCCTTTTACTTTATTTATGAATGACATCGCAATTTAATTAAATTAAACCTAACTTGTAACACCTAAGGTATTGATAACTAAAATTACTGTATTTTTTCACCCGGGGGGGGGGGGGGAGTGGTAAGCGAAATCATGCTTTTAAATAAGTAAACAACTATTGTCCGACATGTTTAATGAATTAAGTGTTCCAGTATTTGAGTTTCAACATTTAAAACCAGCTAAAAGCTTGGACTCCCTGGGCACAGTTACAGCAGTACTTGCGAACATTTTGCCCTCTCTCGTAACATCAGTTTTCGTGGAAGGTTTAACACTTTTTAATTTGTCAGATACAATTGTGGATGTAAAATTTAAGTTCACATTATGTAAGAAAATTGTTGCATAATAACTGCGCGTTTGCTTCATAATATGTGCATAATAAATAGTTTGAATAATATTTGTAAGTAGCGTAATGTTTTAATTGGTTGCACTCTAGACTAGGTTGCTGCCTCTTCTGTTAGGTAGTGTCAATGTATACATTTGCTTGCATACGCTATATACACGCCAGTATAACGTTGCCTAATTTTCTAAATCAAACAGCAGGGATGTAGAAGCAGTAGCATCAGCAACAGCAACAACAGTAGATGGATGAGCAGTGTAGATGTTAGTGGTGATGGTGGCGGTAGCACTAGTAATAGTCACGTTTAGTCCCAACTAGAACAAAAGGCGCTGATACTCACCACAAAGTGTCTAAACAGACGCCGGTTTTCACCAATAAAAGTGTCTATTACAGTAGCGAAAATAATGGTGCTCTCAATTATAAACAGTTTAAAAAATATGCCTTGCTAGGCGTACCACTAGGGAAAAAACATCTGGCGGTGACTGTGGTAGTTGTGATAGCAAAAAGAGCAATAAGTGGCAGCAGCATTCGTCTCGTCAATCTCGCAGTTATAGTAGTAGCAGCAGCAGCAGTAGCAGCAGTAGTAGTAGTATTAGATGTTATCAGCAATAGCATTGTTCGTCTCGTTGTCGTCGCCGTTGTAATAATCATAATAGTAGTAGCAGTAGCAGTAGTAGTAGCAGTAGTGGTGGTGGTGGTAGAAGTAGTAGTAGTAGTAGTGTTAGTAGTGGTAGTAATAGCAGTATTATTAGTAGTAGTGGTGTTAGTAGTATTAGTATTATTAGTGGTGTTAGTAATAGTTGTAGTGGTGGTAGTAGTGGTGGTAGTGGTGGTACTAGTAGTATCATTAATACCATCATTCGTCTTGTTGTCGTCGCCGTTGTAATAATAGTAGTATAAGAAACAGTAGTATAAGCAGCAGCAGCAGCAATAATGGCAGTAGACGTCGTGGTAGTTATATCACTAACATAATGTTAAATGCTGAGCCGACACAAAGAAATAATGAGGAGGGCGATATAGGTAGGCTCTATGCTTTGTATACGTGTTTAACAATAATAATAATAATTTTAATAATAATAATAACTTTAATAATAATAATAATTTTAATAATTATAATAATTTTAATAATATAATAATTTAAAAAATAATAATAATTGTGTCACGAATTGGAAATTAAAGTAAAACATTTTTGAAAAATATAAACGTATAAACGACCATTTGAAAGACAGAACTTCTGTAGGTTGGAAAGGGTGTGGGTGGGGCTAGCTTAGTCATCATCATGTAGCAGGTCCTTTGCAGAACGTCGCTCTCATCACAGTCTGCATGAAAGAAACCCGGTCTCTCGCCAGTTCTCCCGCCTCATAAACTTTCACACTCAAGGAGTCACTTATATTCTGTGCCCATCTTCGTGTCGGTCGACCCCTGTCCCTCCTTCCTGGTACCATGCCTTCTGCTATAATTTTTTTTTCCAATCCGTCGTGGCGCTTGATATGACCAAAATATTTCAGCTTTCGAGAAAGGATGCTGTTTATTAGCCAATCTTCCTTGATGTTCAGATCTTTGAGGATGTCAATATTTCTCATCTTCTTTGTCCAAGATATTCTGAGAATCTGTCCATATCATGTCAGCTCAAAAGCCTCTATTTTCTTTCTTGGCTGCGAGATAGTCAACGACTCACGTCCGTATATAGCCACAGGTAAGATGCATGCTCTCAAAATTCTAATTTTGATCTCCTTGCTGGTGCTTAAACATAGACTTTTAAGGCTGTTCAATCTTTGCATTGCTATTTCCATCCTGCTTTTAATTTCTGTCGAAGTCTCCATTGTTGTTTATTATAGAGCCTAGATATTCAAAGTTTGTGACATTTTCCATTTCTTCATCATTATATTTTTGGATGACAGCCAGTTTTATCATTGGGCATTATTTTCGTTTTCTTTAAATTCAAGAACAGATTTTGATCTTCACTGTGCTTTTGGACAGACAATATTAAATTTTATATTCTATTTAAGCTGTTCGAAAGGAGGACTGTTGTCGCGTGCGAATGTGCACTAGAACGCACTGGTACGGAGTGAGCAAATAAGACGTCAAAACAATACGTAACGTTGTGAAGGTATTGTTGTCAAAGGCAGTTGATGTTTATAGTCCGAAGGAGACAGACGTGTGGATCCTTGAGGACGTTTTACCCCGAGATCCCACGGAAGCAAACGTTATATGAAGTTGGATCCTTGAGGACGTTTTACCCCGGGATTCCAAGATAGACCTCAGCAGGAAGCTGGTGAACATTACATTCTCGGCAGTAAGCCGGTATACTTTGATTGCTTAATTCGGACTTGTCCGAGGACAAAGATAATCGTCTGGATCTCAAGGTCGGACTGCGACCTATCGTGAGGACATATCAATACATGGATGTACGAGCGAGCTTTGGTTGAACGAGTTGATTATTACCTGCATATGTATTCTTTGTGTTGATCATTGCATTTGTCAATACACAAATGGAACTTTTAAAGAGAGTTCTCGTTCTGCTACGTTGTGCTACGTTGGAAGCTTCAGCATTCATTATGTTGTGTTACTCTTGGCCAGTGGCATGTTAAGTGTTGATGCCATTTGTTACATTGCGACACCCCTAGTCACTTTACACTCGTCACAATCAATGAAGCTCCGCACGTCACAACTGTGTCATCTGCGTAGAGGAGTTCTGAAATAGGGTTACCACCAATTTTAAGCAGATCATAGCTGTCACAAATCTGGTCATTTTTGACATTTCTCATTATATTTTCTGCGTATGTATTGAATAGGTATGGTGAGAGAATGCAACCCTGCCTCACCCCCTTTTGCACCTCGAATCAATCAGATGTTTCACTAGCTGCTCTGATGGCAGCTTGTTGTTCATGATAAAGATTTTCAATTAAATGCACCAAGGGCTTGGAAACCCCATAGCTAGCTTATTACTCACTGTTTTCCTTGGCTGGCTGGGGGGGGGGGGGGGGGGGGGGGCCTTATGATGCCAGAGTCCTCAAATTTTGGCATCTATGATGTTTTACCTGTCCTAATTATAACTTGAATATAAAAATTTAAAAATTATAATCATTGAAATTTCTATTTTTCTGTAGCTCGTGTTTTTCTTCTCCATAATAAATAATTAGATTCTAAAAATTACAGTCATAGCATTGTTTACACTTTCTTTGGAATAATTACAGCTTTGCAACAAATGACCAAAGTTATTCAATGTTCCTTTGCAATAAAAATTCTATGCCTAATAAAGTATTGATATTATTCGCTCTGGTGACAGAGACAAAATATTCCTTCTTGTTTTATAAGGCTATCTGTCTATCTTTTTTTGTCATAGGCTTATTGCAGCTGGTCATATATTCAACTGACTTTCACATTTCTTAGACTGATTTCAGTAAATAATGTTTTCTATATGATTATGATGTTTGCCGTTATGTCTTCTTTTATAGCCACTCCAGGTTGTAGCCTCAGTAACTGTTATTGCAAATAATTGTTTAGTTCACTTATTGCATGACATGTTATAATTAGGATATTTAAAACTTTGCATTGGTGAGATTTGATACACTTCAGCTTGTTGTAGACAGACACAAACTTGTACAGCAATGTAACATTATTCAAAAACTTTGTGTGGGTGGGAGCTGATGTACTTAAGCCACTTGTTGACACATAACAAGAAATCTAGATGTCATCATCATGTAGCAGGTCCTTTGCAGAACGTCGCTCTCATCACGGTCTGCCTGAAGGAAACTCGGTCTCTCGTCAGCTGTCCCGCCTCATGCACTTTCATACTCAAGGAGTCACTTATATCCTGTGCCCATCTTCGTGTTGGTCGGCCCCTGTCCCTCCTTCCCGGTGCCACGCCTGCTGCTATAATTTTTTTCTAATCTGTCGTGGCGCTTGATATGACTAAAATATTTCAGCTTCCGAGACAGGATGCTATTTATTAGCCACATTTTCTTGAATCTCAGATGTGTTCAGATGTCAGTACTTCTCCTTTTCGTCAAAGATATTCTTAGAATCTTTCTATACCTTTTCAGCTCAAAAGCCCCTGTTCAATCTAGATGTAGCAGAGTTATATTTCTATGGCGGACAGTTTAGTACAAATAAGTTCTCGCAGTGTTCGTATAGTGTTACGAAAATCAAACCATGGATGAGATTGATGTCTCTTTACTCTTTAATTCGTTTCTATTTAACTTACTTGATCCTGTCCTGTTCTATGTTGTTGAGGGTTGCCAGAGTGATCACCAGACTTCTCTATCGCAGTGTTATAACTTGTAATCATGGTTTGAGGCGAACAGGTGACTGACCTATTGTACCTGTGCATGCTGGAGAGACTGCCTTCTTGCGACTTCCATGCATGACGTCTGGCTTATTCATGGTTACCCCCTACTACAGGGGATGCTTGAAGCACTCCGGTTCAGCCAGACCCCTCTGCTTTGTTTTAGCCTAGCCTGCGACTGTCCTAGCGGAGTTGAGGCCCCACCACGTATATTTCTAAAGTTGATTCAAATAAACACTTCAGTCAACCTCAATTGTAAATTTTTTTTTTTACCAGGTAGATGCAAGCAAAATGTACAACATTACAGCTGATGAATATACCACACGCCGCAAAGAACTGTGGATTCAAGGCTACAGTTATCTGTTCTATGTAGCCAAAGTGTTAGTCATGACAATATCTATCGGCCTCAACGTCACTGTGCTGGTGACAATCAAACTCAGCAAACGTCTCAGGACAATCCCATGTCTCTACATGGTATCATTGGCTGTTAGCGATCTCACATTTTCCTGCAATGGAATATTTCACAGTACAATAGTAATTATCGTAGCGTGCACACACGACTGGCCTTCCTATCAGATGGCCAATACTTTTGGGACAAGCGTTACCTTTGTGTTCTTTTTTAGCATTTTTTCAACATATGGAAACCTTATTCTCATTTCCCTAGAACGGTGGGTCTATATTTCTCAGCCATTTTGGTACCAACGAGTTATTTCTCATCGGCTTGCAGTCTTCAGTATAGCTTGTATATGGATAGCGTCTACAGTCGTAAATGTGGACATCTTGATTACAGGAGACGATTTTCCCGTAATCAACAAAGAGATGGTTAAGTACGGCATTATATTTCCAGCCTTGCATTTCATTTGGTGTGTCATCATCTGCAGCATCTACATACATATCGCGGTTATTACTTTAAGACACATTAAAGCAATGAAGAAAACTGCATATGTGTGTATCGCTGCAAATACAGATAACGAAGATCTTAAGCTGATGGTGCTAAAAAAGAAAATGGCCCACGTACGAATGTTGCTGTTCGTGTTTGGATCATTCTTCCTTCTTCTAACACCCACGTTTTGTTGCAACATCTACGCAACAATTACCAAAAAAATAAACGGCGATCTCATGGGCTTCGCCAAACTGCTGATGTGCGCCCATAGTTGCAGCAACTTTTTTGTCTACGCTTTCCAAGACAAGGAATTCAAAAGGGCTTTAGGGAAATTATTTGGCAAGTATGGATTTGGCCGCGATGACACTAAGGTTTACCCTAAACAAGTTTATAGTTCAACAGTAGGATTCGACACCGGTCATAGTAAGACCTATCCATCCTTTGACTAAAATACCCCAGAGACCATTTTTACATACCGGTTATCTCACGAAGAAACAATATTGCAATTCAACAGACACTTTATAATAATATGAGAACTTCACAAGGGGAGAATGCACAGCACATGTCTACCGATCATCAGTAGATGGTCATCCTTTCAACAATTCTTTCAACAATCGTCATCCTCATTGACAATTGGACAGCATGTTATGGTGGTTTTGCAACAAGTACTGAGGTTACGGTGGTAAATATATATATATATCGTCGCTGCGGCAGATTAGACGCCTTCCTGCACGACAACGACCTTCAACTTAAACACCGGAGAGACCATTTTTTACGTAACAGTTATACCAAAAGATACAAGATTGCCATTCTAAAGACAGTTGGAGATTATCATGCAAGAGACACTTGAAGATTAGCAAACAAAAGAAGCTTTTAGGATGCCGAGCTAAAGACACACAGGGCGCCATGCAAAAGAAACTAGGCTATTGCCATATTAAGACACCTGGAAATGCTGAGAAACCTACTGTTTTAAGCAAACTGGGCTAGTGTTTTTTAATACAATTTTCAGATTGGATTTTGATTAAAGTTTTAGTTACCACAGTTCGTAAACCGTAGGCTTGTCATCTTTTAAGCCACATAATTTGAGTCTAGTCTTCATTTCTTTGGGCTTAAAGGTCAGGTTTCTAAAATAGTGACTAATTTTTTCACGACCTGACATTCTAGAATCGAACTCAACATGAAACATATTAAAAACACATATTGATATGAGACTTTATCTTTGAAGACGTAATGTAATTCTTGTTATTTCTTCTCCCGGTTTGGGTAAGAATGTCTGTTCAGATCATAGTATAATTAAGACACCATCTGTTAGTTGCTTTGTTACAATTAGAAGATGTTTTAAAATAAAAGTTGTTAATTTATAAATACACAATTTAAATGCACACATTTTCTAAATTTCCTGCTGGGGATGGTTCTGTAACATCCTCTGAAGCAGCGTTTCTCAAACTTATTTCTGCGGCACCCTTGTCATGCAAAACACAACTTCGCGGCACATCTACCCTTAAAGCAGTTTGAACACTTAGGAAAAGAAGGGGAAAAAACGGCAAATGTAATGTTCAGTTGTCTTTAATGCGATACACGAAACTGTTTGGATGAATTTTTCATTAATTTCTTTTTGTTTATTAAAGTTGAATTATATCCTCAAAGTACTCGAATGTTGCTCGTGTATCTGCTTTTTAATGTAAGCATACGTTGAGAATGCACTCCATTCTTACCGATAGCATTGTTTTCTGAACACACCTGCATCCTGAACTTTCCTTGGCTTTCTTCGTGTTATTTCGTTTTAAACTCCTGTCTTCGCTGCTCTCAAGCAGATTTTGAAAAACTCTTAATTGCTGCTGCGGCACCCCTGACATACGCTTGCGGCACCCCTGAGTGCCACAGCACCCAGTTTGAGAACCGCTGCTCTAAAAGATACACAACTTTCAATCAAAGAGTCCTCGCAACAGATGTCCAGCAATCTAACTACTTTTTTTTTTTTAAACACGACTTTCAAATAGGCTAAACACACAGTGAGAGTAAGGAATGTGGCGGCCAGTAATCATTAAATTGCTTTGACGAAAATTAATTTAAAGAAGTCAGAGAACTTATTGAATGATGTATTGTATTTCAAGAGCAGAGCCAGTGTCATACTAGATGTACCCGGGACTGACGGAGTAAATCAATATTAATAATAACGACAATACGAGACGCGTTTTTAAAGTAAGTCTCAGTATAAATTTATTTTAAAAAACATCATATTAAAAAAAAAAAAAAAAAACATTTATTACAACTAAAAGTAAGCCACACACTTACATTATTTCTCAACATAGTCACCATTGACTTCAACACATTTTTTATATCGTGGCACCAGGTTTTTAATTCCAATGTCATAGAAGTCCACCGACAGTGTCTTAAGCCATTCATTAACGTCTTTCTGCAGTTCATCATCTGTTTCAAATTGCTGGGATGCCAGCCACTTCTTAAGCTGCATGAACAGGCTGTAATCAGGGCTGTATGGTAGGTGGTCAACAATTTTCCAGTGACATTTGCGACGAAAGGTCGAACATTATCTTGAAAAGGCACAATTTCAGAGGACCCACGTCTTTTGTTTGGGATGCCACACACATTTTTGTTTAAATTAAATGTTTCTTGTCACAATGTCGTAAATCATTAAACGTGAAACTTCGCAAAATTCGACAAAAAAACCAAAAAATTGTGAAACGACAATTTTTCTGAATTAATTTTGTGGTTCGCTTCTTCGACCAAACCCTCTCTCACCACACTCGGTCTACCGCCACTATTTTCATCACGGATATTTGTTCGCTCTTCTTTAAACATTCAATACCATTTGTCAACCATACTATCAGTCATAACATCTGGCTCATAAACATCAATGAGTTGCCTGTGAATTTCTGCAGCACTGTTGTTTTTTGCTTACCCAAAAAACAAAAACAAAAAAACACAGCATGAACCTTGCAGCTGGCAGGAATAAAAATTTTCGCACTCATTATAAATCACCCACATGCAGCATCAAACAAGATTTCGTCAGTGAAAAAAAAAAAAAAGTAAGCTAATGAATCACATAAACATACTGTAAATGCACATTAACGTTGTTCATCAGTGTTTGTCGCTGCGGTCAAAACAAGACTTATTTTTAAAAATGCGTCTGTAATAATTGGAGAGGGGGAAGTTAGTACCACTTCTAAAAAAAAAAATGAGGAGGAGGAGCTTAAGGCACCAGAATCGGCAGGTTCTGGGGTCTCTGTTTAGTGTCCAATAATCTAAGCGTATGACAAGAGTGTTGGAGAAGGGGAAGTGGGGGTGGGGGTGGTGGGTGGGAGGGAGTCAGAAGGGGGGAACTGAGGAGAAACTTTAATTTTCCAATATCCTAATGGGTCCTATTCACGTTTCCCGGCCCATCTAAACTGCCTGACTTTTAATTCATGCTTTCTCACACTGTTCTACGTCAGAGGGGTGTCTCGTTGTCTTGCCTCCAATTACATTAGCGCTGATGTCACATGTTCTAGACTACACGACGACACAGCTTTTAACGACCGCAGAACATCTAGAACTGGCCCTAACCCTAACCCCCTTACCTACAGCCTGAGCCTAGGTCCCACAAGAGACTTTCCGAAGAAAAGAGTACAACGTGACACCCCTCTGTCCTAGACCAGACTGACAACGTGTGTAGATAGGCTGTAAAATGTGAATACGACAACCGAATGTTGTTGTTTGCGTTCACCGGCTGTAAACCCTCAGCGGAAAGACCTAGTTATTCGTCCATTTCTGGACTTTGGCTTTGTTCCAGGATCTGAGTTTTGTGTGTGCATCCATTTTACAGATCTTGCTTTTTTTTTGTATGCAGACTGTTGGTTCCTTGCCTCTCATGCAGATGCATTCCGATTCTGAAGGCAGCCACCAGTTAGCCAACTCTTACGACATGCTTATTTTCAAGGCAGTGTGTCTATTCTTGTTTTTCCCACAATGGGACCCTAGAACCCACACGGGAATAACTGTCGATTGAGCCTGTGTGTATTTTTGTTGGTCTATTTGAACCAAACGCTGCCTTCTGTAGTTTTCCAGGCTCCAATTTTCGTTTCATTTAGCCATAGATGTTTTCCTTAGCTGCATTTTCTGCAAAACTGTTTTGTGTGTTCTGTAGTTTGATAAGTTCATTTGTACACATTCCTGTGCAAAATATCTTTGGAGGCATAAACAACACATTTAAAATATTATGTATACTCTACCCTACTGTTTTACTGAATTTACTGTTTGCCTAATTAAGACTCAAAATCATACGTACTCCATCTCTCGCATAAAATGTCCTAAGGTGTATGTAAAGCACTTCTTAATTAGCTCATTGTTAACATAACATCTCAGTGCACACAGATGAGGAAACAAGAGCTCTAGTGTGGAAGGGAAACAAAGCGTCTCTAACACAAACCAGCTGATCAAAACGGTTTATTGATTACGAAGCTTCTCTCCTCAGTCGGTGTCATTCGAAAAAAAGATGTCTAGGAGATAGGTAACACTATAGGCTGATTTTTCAAAACTTACTTAATATTTTAGTTAGAATTACCTTCACAATTGACTCCTTCAGTCAGGTTTAAACTCAGACACTCACGAGTTATCACAAATATATCCGCTCTGCCATTTGCAGAGGATTCGACGTAGCCAGAATTTCACACTTGTGGTCTGCTAATCATTCAGTTATCTGCTCTCAACACTCGTCAATAGCTCTTCTCAGCGCCACTGGACATTTCATCAGAAATCCGCAGCTATCGCTTTTGTGGCCAGAAAACCCTCTCTTTTATTTGTCCGCACCCTAGCATGTCCCCGACAGCACACCGACTCGAGTTCCTGCAATGGTGCACTGATGCTTAGCATCCATTCATGCTATATTTGTCCATTTCGAACCTTCTGTAGTACCGACTGAGAATCAGTTACCATAATTCCATAATTCCTATTGTGACTGTTTTTTTTTTTTTTGACAGCCATCTCAGAGCTGAAGTGACCACCTCCCCCTATCCTCACGCCTACAGCTGCAGATTTAAAAAAAAAAAAAAAAACATTGTGTTCCGCCATGATAGTTCCTCCCCCTCCAGCTGAAAATTCCCTGCAATGTCTTTCACCCCGACGAACAGAACCACAGGTGTACACTATTACATCATCTAGCCTGGCGTTTCCATCCAACGGTTACTGTATCTCCAATTCTACCACACCGCTACATCACACTTCTAACTCTCCTCCCGAAGTGATAATGACCAGATGGAAACTGCTGCCGTGTGTGTTCCAAACCCGACTGTACTGTGGAGAAATCTGGATAATAGGCAAGCGACTAGACACTCGAACTAAGTCTTGTGAGATGTAGAAAAACAGGAGAACCAGTCTGATTTCATGGAAAGCAGAAACACACAAATACAGAGGACCTGGAGAAACGAAAGAAAAACGGAATTTCTGAAAGGAA